TTATGAGTTTGACTTCTTTAGTTTTGTCTCCTAACGATTCTTCCAGTTTCTTTAAAGTCTGAACTTTAATGAATCAGCTTCAGTTACTGAAACTGAGGAGAAATGCACCTGGAATCAGGGACAGGAAGTGACAATGTATTTCAAGGCTTGATAAATGACCTGAGTCTGACCTCTTCCTCTTCCTCTTCCTCTTCCTCTTCTTCTTCCTCCTCCTCCTCCTCCTCCTCCTCCTCAGAGTCAGGGCGTGCTCAGTTCGTCCGACCGCAGCGCTCTGAAGCGTCGCATCAAAGACATCCACTCTGCAGCGGAGAAGGAGAAGAAAGCTCTGGACAAGCTGGAGAAACAGAAGGAGAAACAACGGAGGAAAGACCAGGAGCAACGCAGGAACTGAAGACCGCCATCAGAGGGAGACAGAGGATGAGCAAAGGGGAGGACAGGTGGAAGACAAGAGGGAGGAAGAGACGGAGGGACGGACAAACTGACAGTGTTCACAGGAGCAGAAAGATCTGTAGAAGTGAACGCTCTGCCACACAAACAATCTCTGTTTGAGTCATCCTGGAAAACCTGGAAATCTCGAGTACAGCCTTCGAGTCCTGGAAAAGCCCTGGAGAAGGACAGCTGTAAACATCTGGAAGGTTTGATGAATCTACAGAGGCTCACAAGGTTTTGTTCATTTCACCAACAAGACCTGATGAAAAGTATTCATTGACGACCATTTCCATGGCAACAACCAGACTAAAAGTAAACAAAATGTGACCTTTGAAAACACTCAGGTGTTTTCACTGAATCATGATGAAAACAAACAAACTCGTTAAAGGAAATTTAACTTTTTACACTTGTTTGTCTTTCGTCCTTCTGAGCCACCGTACTGTTTCACAGTGAGTCAATCTGAGTCTAAACGACATGTGATTTGGTCCTTAGTATCCCACAATCCACTGCACAGCAGAGTAAAGGTGCGTTCAGGTGCTGCTCCTCACACCTGAACCTGATGCTGTGAGCAGGTCTGAGCTGATGAGATGTACGGAAACAAAGAAAGGTCAAAATAAAAGAGTGAGATTTAATGTCATTAAATAAGGAAAGTTTGTTTCAACTTTCGAAATAACAATTTCAAATTAGCTAATTTTGGATCTAAAAATGTCATATCAGTCAATCAATCAATCAATCAATCAATCAATACTGAATGGACCTGATCGGACTTATCAAACTTGTGGCATTTAAAGCTGATAAAATAGCGTCTTTTCATTGACGCACTTGAACTCATCGTCAGTTTAACGTGTGGTGTGACGTCAGCTGTGTCCCAGTTCAGAGACCGCGTCCTTCAGAGGACCTGGTCTACGAAGGCCGGACTGACACAGAGGATTTTCTCTTTGTGTCACCAGCTGTTCCCGCCATTACCTTATGTCACAAAGCACGGCTCCTGTCGCCTAGCAACCTTGACAACATAACTTTTTCTCACTAAAACTTTGTGTTTTCAGTCTCTTGCTTTTACGGACATTAACAGTGTAATCCTCAGACTCTCTCCACCTGTTGGAGCGCTGGTTGTCCAGGCAACGATGGAAATTTGAAATGGGACAGTGTAGTCACTCTTCAGATACAGCCTCTGAAGGAAGAAGCACCTGAAATGGGACACAGCTGTTGTTTTTCTCAGCCTGAAGCCCCGCCTCCTCTGATGGAACTTTGACCACGCCCATCCGAGGAGGCGGAGCTGTGTTTGAAAATGTGGAAGCTGTGACAGAGTAAAGAAGGACGTGTTTACTGTGAAAGAAGAAGAACTCAAACTGAAAACGTTGATAAAAACATCTGGTTCATGTCGTTTCTGACACTGTCTGTACCGACCGACCTCTGACCTCTGACCTCTGCATCATTCAAATAAATAAATCTGTGACAAACTTTTAAAATGGATCCTGTGCTTGTGTTTTCCTTTTTTATAATGACACTGATAAACACACGTTTGTTAGAGCTCAGAGATCCTCCACTCACAGAGCTAACAGCACACATCAATGGAAACTGAAGTGTTAGCCTAAACAAGCTAATGATATCATAAACAAGCTACTATCTGACCTCAGAACAGCTTCTGTCTCATTACTGCCCTCTTGTGGCAGCAGCAGGTTTTGTCTCTGAAGCTAGCTTGACTGCACATCTGATGTGTTTACTGTCAGAATAAGAATAATCCTGAAACTCCTTGAGACAGGAAGGTGAAGATGGAGAGAGAGACTTTCAGAATAAAACCAAGAGACAGAACAGAGACTGAGTTTAACAGATTTAAAGTGATGCTGTGATGAAGGTTGTTTCAGTCTGAATTTTTCTCATCGGTGTGATTAATAACAGATAAATAAAACTGCTGATGCACATACTGTATAAAACCATGGTCATAAATAGAATGCATCTCCTGTATCTGCTTCACAATAAAAGCCTCCATGTGAAACAGGAAGCTGTGGTCCTGAAAGACCACAAAAACAAAGTGACAGTGAAACAGTAGAAAAGTTTTATTGTGAAAGAATCAAAGGACACGAACAAAGATCAGGTTTCATTGATCACTGTGACATAAATATCAATAAATAAAGTCAGGTCACCCATGGGGTTTACTTCCTGTTTCAGTTTCACACCTGAACACGTCTGAGATACAAAGACATTTACCTGTCATTTACCTGCAGAACATCTGCATGTTCACACACACACAATCACTGATGACATCATCACTCACGTCATCACTCACTGATGACATCATCTCTGACATCATCCCTGTCCATCAGCGATTCTCTCTCTCTGTTTGTTTTAAACCTCTCTCGTCCCTAAAATTGATTTAATATTGAAAATATAAAATCAATATCATATTATGATCTTAAATTCATGTGTTGCGACCATGTGAGGTCACGACCCACAAAAACAAAATGATTCACACAAACAAACACAAACAAATCAATAAATACATCAATATAAATAAGGAATAAATATCAGTAATAAATAAATGATTAATATCCTGCATATGATCAGAGATCTGATCAGAAATATTGATAAATATCAACATGAGATATTAACTGCAGAAAAACCTTCAGAGTTAATTGCCAATTTGATGCACTTCCTGTTTCTGCTTCACAATAAAAGCTGCCTTTTCACATTTCATTCTGCAACAATCATTTTCATTATTGATTAGTCTAATGATCATCTTAATTTTTGATCAGTCTAACGATCATTTTCATTATTGATCAGTCTAACAACCATTTTCTTCTGAATTAAAATCAATTGTTAAAAATTGTCAGAAAACTGATTCAAATTGTCTGAAATGATGAATCGATTTTTGAAACTGATTGATGAACTGATGCTGCAGCTTTAAAAATGATTGTGAACTAAAGTTTGAAAGAGCAGAAAATAAAGAGGTGAAATGTTTCAGGTCGTCCCCCCTCCTCCTCTGAAAACTTCTGATAATCAATAACTCACAGTCTGATCTGAACTTCTGATAATCAATAAGTGGAAGTGTCTGATCTGAATTTGTTGGCGTCGACCTGCAGCTCCACACTGACCTGAGACCAGGTTCAGACCTGCAGCTCTGACTTGCCGTGCTGCGTTCACATTCCTCTGAAAAGAGGCGGAGCCTGGATCCTCCGACTGACAGAGGAGGAGCAACACCCAAAACACTCTGGGATATTTTCACAGAGGCTCACAGGAAGTCGACTGTCACAATAAAACGTCAGGTTTAGGGACATTGTGCCCCCCCCCACTTAGAAAATGTCATGAAATACATCAGAATAAATAAATCCTCAGATGTGTCTTCCTGCAGAGACCTCATCATAGACTGATGATGTCACTGATGATGTCACTGCAGAGGTCACTGACCTCTCATGTCTGAATTGTCTGTCCTACTTTTAATAATCTCCGTCCAAGTCATCCTGATTGTCCCTTATGTCCTTGAACGCAGCACTGTGTTGTCCCTGGTGGGCGGGGCTTAGCGTGTACCTGAAGTGCGAGCAATGGCTCTCAGGCTGCGGATCAGGTCGTGACAGAAGGAACGAAGCTGTGTGAGCGTCAGGTGGACCGCCACCTGGACCTCGTAGTTGCCACGGAGACGAGTGGACAGATCCAGACTCGGGTTCTGATCCAGACCATCGTCGGCGAGCTGAGCCGCCTCCTTCATCTGAAACACAGACAGACGTGTGAGCAGCCAATCACAGCTCTGTCCTCAGCTGTGATGTCATCTCAGGTGTGTTGTTACCTTTCTGAGGTGTGTCAGCAGGTCTCTGAGGTCGGCTCGCATGTCCGTCAGTCCACTCAGTCTCTCTGACAAAATTCCCAGCAGCCCCTGGTACAACCGGCCGCCCGCCAACATACGACTCACACACATGTCCTGCAGGGGGCGACGCACACACACGTTACATCACATCACATCACATGACCCCTATGACTTCAGAAACCCCATCAGACCATAACCCCCTCTACAGTTAACCCCAAAACCTCCCTAAGGGACCCCCAGGACCAGGACCAGGACCAGGACCAGGACCAGGGGACCCCCCTCGTTACTCCAAGAACCACCTCAAACCTCTTTAAGAAACTCGAGACCCAGGACCTAATCCTCCTTGTCACTTCCTGAACCGTCTAACCCTAACCCCCCTTCAGAACCCCAGAACCTCCACAAAGACCAGAACTCCTCTGAGTCACCCATAGTCACGATTAGAACTCAGACTTCCTCAGGTACGTCCAGGTACAGAACCTAACGAACCCTCAGTTAACAAGATCCACATCAACACCCACTAGAGCCTCAAGGACACAAAGACCCCCCCTCCTCAGACTGACCAGTGTGAAGCGTTCGGACAGCGGCTTGATGACGGGGCCGGCGGGGATGCCCAGTGAGGTCACCATCATCTGCAGGTTGGCGGTCTGAGTGGAGGGGTCGAGGGTCAGACCCTGCGGAAGACAGCAAGACGTTATTAACATGCGAAGAAGAAGAGGAAGGAACAGCCAATGGGAGTCGAGCTGAACCAGCCAGATCAGATGTGCCGTTTACCTCCGTGTTGATGGTGGCGGCGTGCACGTCGGGGAGGTCCCTCAGGATTTTCTCCACCAGCGTCTTCGCTCGCTCAGCCGTCTCCCTGAAGGCTGGGAGGGGGGCGGGAGCTGATCGGACCAAAACTGCAAACAGGAAGCAGTGCAGCAGAGCAACGGCTGGAGGGAGCACAGAGTGGAGGTATGGAGGATCAATAGTGTCAGAAACAATAATCAATATGATCAGTTACAAAGAAGTGATTTAAAACTGTCACTTTATATAACTTTCTTGAATAACTTTCTTCACATGAATACATCATTAATTAATGCTTCATAGATCTGTTATAATCAATAACTAACAAATTGTCAACATTTATAACGACTTATTAATGTTTACCAACAAACAACTAGATACAATAAATAAATAAACAGCAGCCACAGTGTTAACACACCTGTAACAATAATGGGTTACACCTGATTTATGACGCATCAGTAAATGATTTATTAACTGATAATAAAACCATTAGCAACTAAACTTTTCAAATCAATAAGCAATAACTAATCGATGATGTCACTCATGATACAGACTTGAGTTAAATAAGGCTTCAGCACATTTCAATATTGTACAGTGAAGAATAGAAACCAACGTTAGCCAGCAGTAGGACATTTCCTAAGTAGGTTTTTACAGAGCGCTAACAGGATGTTAGCTGAGAGGATACTACCAAAATAAGAGTCTCCATCTATGCCAGCAGCTCTAAAGACAGCGGTACTTTGAGCCAATTGCTGTTTACCAGGTATAATGTTTACCATCTGTTAGCGCATTACCATGCTAACATTGGCTAATTAGCAGTTAACACAAAGTGGAGCTGAGGCTGATGGGAACATCATTAATTAAAATTATTCTGGTTTCACTAGCAACCTCCCATACTGCACCGCGGCTGGCACTAACAACCCCTCATACCTCCCCAGCTCCAGGTGATCCAGGCTGAGCTGAGGTGGAGGAGGTGTTTTAAATGTGACTGATAAAGTCTTAGTTCACTCTTCCACCATGTTTGTGCTGGTTTAAACACCCCCCACCCCTCCCTCATAACTGCAGACTGGCACAGCAGGTAAAGTCTCACCTGTCGGGGTGTTCATGTCTCAGGGCGGCTGTGTGTCTCTCTGGCTCGGTGTGTGTCCGCCGCTCGACGCGCTAAAATCCTCTTCAGCTTCCATTTGTGGCGGTTTGGACTTTTTATCTTCTCGCTCTCGTGCGGGGTTTTCCATTGACGGGGGACCGACAGCATCGTCACCGACTCACTGCGGAGTCATCCGATAATTCCCGAAGTGTCGAAGCTTGAGAAACTTGTTGCGTAATAAACCGACGTTAAAACAAACAAAGACAAAAGGAAAAGAACCGTGAGAGCGGCAAATCACACACACGGAAACCTGCAGGGGTCTCACGTGCTGCAGGTAAACCACGTGACCTCCTTACGCCTTTACTTCCAGCTAGATCCAGACTGTGACCTCACACAGGTCAGGGTTCACACCTAGGGTCAGTGTGCAGGTTTTCAGGCTCCATTAAATGACCCTTACTGATAAAGACGGTGAGAGCTTTTGACACAGTAGAATGATACTGGTTTATTTCATCAGTGATCCGTTACTGTAATAAAATTCACCGAATATAAACGTCCTGCAGTGAAGAAGTGACGATGATATAATAATATATTATTATTACACATACAAATATAATTCACTAAGTTATTATATTTAATGATAAAATATTATGAATAATAACATTAAAATAATATTATTAGTTTATTGATCTGAGTGATCAATGCTTCAGCAGCTCGTTACTGTTTTATATTCATTTATTTCATTCTAAAATTATTCTATATAAAAGTGAATGAGTGAAGTACCTGCAGCTGTCAGGTAAACACAGGTATACATAGAATATAATGCAAACACTGCGGTACCTGAGTAAATGTATTTAGTTACCTTCCTTCACCGTTGTCAGTAAAACGAAGCTACACTTTAATAAATAGTTAGTAAACTGAACACGCGGATATAAAGTCAAAATAACTTCAAACTGTTTTATTTACTTGGTTTTCAGTTTCCTAGATTTTTTAAAGTGAGAACAACTTTCACTTTTTACAGCGTGAGAGCAAGAAATTAATTTTAAAAAATCCAAACAGCTGTTCAGTTGTTTCTTTATGAACCAGCTGATGGTTTTCAGACTAATGCTGCGTTCAAGTCACATCAGATTATTGTTCATCAACATCTGGGTCATAAATGTGAAATACCACCCAGATGACCTCACACAGCACCTGAACGCACCACTACAACAGTTTAAGGTGGACAGTAATGATCTTGTTTTTAAGGAGGATTGGGGTGAATGAAGATTTGAAGGGGGTTAATGTTAGAACTGATGGGGGCCCCAGGCTGTCAGGGGCCCATGAGGCATTCAGCTCCCTCCCACTTAAACAACCAATGGATGATTTTCAGTGACCTCTCAGTAGGAACCCTCCCTGACGGGGCCCCTCGCTGTCAGACTTTAGAATCACCTCAGATTATAATCATCTGTAAACAGAGAGAATAAATATTACCTGAATTCAACTTGTTTTCTCTGTACTTTTTGTATTTTTCATTTATTTTAAAATGTTTTAATTTTATATTGTATATATATATATATTATCCATTATTGATTTTTACTGATGAATCTTTCTGATCTCATTGTTTATTCTGATCTTTAAACATTTGTTTTTATGATTTATTGTTTCACTGGTTGTTTTTGTTGTTTAATTTCTTTACTGTGTGAAGTTTCTGTGTGTGTGTGTGTGTGTGTATTATTAATCAGCTTCACTTCATGTGTGTCATCATGTTTCTCTTTAAGAAATCCTGGAAGAACAGTGAGTCAGCGGAAACCTTGAACACACCTCAGAGAGGAGTCAGAGCTGCTGCAGAGGAAACGCTCACTTCACTGCAGCTGGAAAATAACAAAGTCCTCAAACTGCTGCTCTTCATTTATCTGAACCATTAAACATACAAGATAAAGATTAAACCAGATGTTGACAGATGTCGACAGCAGCTCCACATCTCCCTCTAATCTCCTTTGAAAGTGGATTTTTTCATGTGAGAACCTGCTGTGTAATTAAAGGGTTAACGACAGCAGGAAGTAAAAACACTCGGAGGATAAAATGTGATGAAACAAGAGATTTGACGTCTGTGTTTCACAATCAGAACAAACTGTTTCCTGCTGATTCACACAATAAGACTCAGAGACGATCACTCTGATGAGTAATGATTATTAATATTATTGATAAATATTACACACATGAAACTTGACTTGCTGCTGTAACGACACTTCAGATTTGATCAGCTGATCAAATGTTTTGAGTCTTTTAATCAAGTAAAAATGAAAATAGTGCAGGACGCTGAGAGTGACAGCTGATTATTGGTGATCAATAACCTCTAACTGCAGAGCTGAAGACAAGTTTCACTTTACCAGTGAAACATGAGAAAAGAATGAAGCAGCAGCAGATGAAGTTTAATGTGTTTATTATTATGAGATTTCATTTGACTGAGACAGAAACTTTTCATCCTCCAGAACAAACTGATCAAATCAACTCAAGGGTCACTTACAGGCTTTCAACCACATCCCACAACCTTCTTCAGTGAATGGAGCTGGCTCAGATTTACAGAGACTCAGGTCACATGATGACACCTGGGCCAGCTGCACCTGCAGAGGAAGACCATGAGACACGGTCAAAAGCTCTGCACAAAGCTGGACCTCGAGTTTAGGATTTAACTCAGGAAGCAGGAAAGAGAAAAGACCAGGTGACGTTTGGTCAGGGTTCTGTCGGCTATGAATTCTGGGAGATAAAGGTTCATGTTTTTGTTGAAATTCATTTGAGTGACTTAAATCAAAGTTTCCTCCAAAACTCCTTTAATGTGAAAATCTCTTCCTGTTGACTGATCAGACCCGCTGACTCGGTGCTTGTGAAACGTCTCCAGTTGGACGAGCTCAGAGTGAAGGGGCTGCTGGGAAACCACTTCCTGTTTTACTCGAAGCTGATTGGATGAAACCAACATCAGCTGTTTAGTTCTGAAAAAAAACATCATCTGAACTTTCAGTTCAGTTTAATGTTGAAAGTGACAATCAGTTTGTTTCAAATCAATAAACACATTTCCCATGATGCATCAGTGTGACGCTCATGTTCTCAGTGGTTTTCTGCTTCAGCTGAAAGACTCTGAGGGATTTCATAAGCCTGGTCTGAGAGAGGGTCCAGGTCCAGGGGGTCCTGAGTCACCGAGACCTGAACCACACACCTGCTAATTGATCGATTGATCAATCAATCAATCGATCAATCAATCAATCAATCAATCAGTTTGATTATTAGACAGAGTCTACATTAAATTTCAAAATTAAAACTCACAAACAATAAGAACCTGAAGGGAACCTGTGGACTCTGGTTCCTCCTGCAGCGGGGAGGAGTTTCACACTGTTGCCACGGTAACAACAACATATGAGCATCTCTCATTAATTTCCGCCTGTCTTAACGAGACATGTAATTATTCCTGATGTGAACAGCTGGACGAGCAGGTGACACCCAGAAGGATGTTGTTGGGTTCAGTTTCACCTGTCCATCATCTACAACCTGGAGCTCACTGACTACATTACCCAGAAACCCACAGACACAGAGCAAGTGTAAACAAAGTCAGAGAATTTTATTTGTCTCAGAGAGAAAAAACAAGCTGAAGATGAAAGGTTACACAGCAGAATACACACCAGAGAGAAAAGAGGAGAGGGGGATTATGGGTAAGAGGTGATCTACGAACATCAGCGTGCCAACTCACACGCAGAACTACTCCTGCCTGACAGGAAGTCCAGACAGAGGATCATGGGAAGCTGTCGTCGTCATCTTCAGCCATTTCTTTGGCGAACTCCAGGTCCTGCTGCTCCCGCTCCCGACGCTCCTGAACGCACCACACACACACACACACACACGCGTATTTAAGACCTGTAACCGTGTGTGTGTGTGTG